CCAAAACACAGTAAAAAAATAAGCCAAAACCGTAGTTGATTGAGGTAAGACCATAACCGTTGTTAAGACACATGCCTACCCACCATATTCAACAGACTTAGAGAGCAAAAAGGCCAAAGACGGTTTTGGGTCATGACTTGAAAAATCCACCAAAACCTCCCGAAAAATAATTCGCCGAGGGTTGTAGTTAGAGCAACTTAATCCTGAAGCTGGAACATTTTTTAAAGCCTTGTGTCCTATATGACTGTAAAGAGAAGGAAAAGACGATGTTATTTAAAGTGATTTGATGCTTGGGGGCCACCTCAAACTTAACGCAATTTTACTTCGAAGTTGAAGTAAAATAATATCAAACTCTAAATTTCTATCTTTCCTCGGATCAAATATCTCACGATCGTCTCCACAGACAACTTTGTGATTCACAAAAATAAAACATCAACATCTTAAGACTAACCTTCAAGGTTTGTTGTCTCATGTGTACATATTGATCTTCAGTAACTCAAATCTCAAACTTCAAGTTTTCGGGCTTTTTTCGCGTTTTGTTCGCACTTTGATCATTAAAATATCCTCAACCGAAGAGCCAGCAAACACCATGAGTATCCACAGAGTTAGAAATGTTGGCGAACTTGTCATACTCCTTGATCCATATTCACAAAATCTTACAAAAAGGTGTCGATCGTCCAGTGAAACCTCGCAGAAACCCGTCGAAAACTCTACAAATGGCGCCGAACGCGACAAACTAATTCCGCTCGCGCATGCGCAGACAAAATGCCTCTCTGCTGATATATCAGATATCTCAAAACAGTTCTAGCACGCACTTTAAGCTGCCTCGTTATCGCGAATTGCTGAAAGAATGGGGCGAGTAACAAATGATTGTGTGACCAGGTTTACTGTATGACCGATCTGTATGACCTCAAATAAGCGCCTAAGCGCTTGTTAAATTACACCCAAAATGGTGAGCGCTCATTGAAACGAGGGGAGATAATCGAGGGGTATCAAGTTAGTACGACAATAGTAAAAAAATCAACAGAACAGATAACACGCAAAGGAAAAATGGAATTTCACAAGCTAGAACAGAGAAGAAACACTTCTTCTATTGAAGCGATACAAGTTGGAAATAAAGTGGAATCGAAGCAGGTGTTTCTTTGAATCCCTCCTGTTTAGGAAAGTGTGGGCGAGGGGAGGGGCTCATTCAAGGTGGGTGCTTGTTTTAAATCATAACAATGGGGGTGGGCGCTTATATTAAAGAGAGGGCGCTTATTGGAGGAAATACGGTATTCCAAACCGTGTTTCTGAAAGAGTAAGACATTTACCCATACAAAAAATATCAGAATAAATCAATAAAGATGAATAACAGGTGAGGAGTCTTTCAATTTCGGGTAAGAGTTTTCTGATTCTTGGCTTCCATTAAATTTTACAAATGTGTATCCTGACATACCGTTAAAATCAGATGACGTCGCCAGTTTGAGGAACGGACAGAAAAAAGGTTAGAAAATGGAGAAACAAAACCAAACAAACGAAAAAACAAACAAAAGACACCCGTTTAATATTTGTCCTGTTATGGTGAAAGTGAAAATCATGTCTCTTGTCTCTGAGATATCAAACGTTAATAAATCGCAAATATGATTAACGAATACGGTAAGAGGTAATTTATTTACGTGTGATACACAATCCTCGCAGTAGATAGCGCTATTTATGCAATAGCGAAAATCAGACCCGAAAAAAATCAGGCCTGTACGGGACTCGAACCAATGACCTCTGCGATACTAGTTGGCTTGTTAGCTCAATTGGTAGAGCGCTGCACTAGTATCGCAGAGGTCAGTGGTTCGAGTCCCGTACAGGCCTGATTTTTTTCAGGTCTGATTTTCGCTATTGCATAAATAGCGCTATCTACTGCGAGGATCGTGCATCATACGTATCTAATACCGCAGTTCAAAATATATGAACCTCATATATTCATTGTATCTCTGGTAATTTATTTGTAAATAGAGTTCACAACTTTGTGCATTGCAAGAATACATGGTTGGCAACCATTTTCCTTTAAAGTAACAAGAGGGTAGGATTCTGAAACGAAAAAGTAAGGCATTAAAATACACTAACTTGGTCTCCCTATGTCAGAAATTGAATCTCCAGAGGACTCAAAATTCAATTTTTCCCGGCGTAGGATGAGCCAGGACTTTTGTCTTCAACTATTTCGAGCAATAATTAGTTAAATAAATAAATAAATAAATAATTCGAGCATAAATAAAGTTTACTGTATTGTATAAATGGCTATCGGTGGAGGTCTATCTGTATCTTGAATATCTCGCCCTCGTGATGCTAGTAGCTTACGGCCTGTGCCCATTGCAGTACGAGCAACAACAACAAAAATAAATTCACGCTCTTCCGGGCAGACTGCAAGGCGTTGTTGCCGATTCAGGTGGCTTTTTGTTCCCTGATCTTATTTTTGTACTGAGTCTTGTGATATTTCTCTTGGGATGGGTTGTCACCTCTCTGTCAGCCCCCTTGGATCATGTGTACTAACGGCATCCGCGGTCGAGTGTCGATCGATACCAGCGATCGAGTGTAGTTGACACTCGATCGACCTGTCGATCGACACTCGGTCGACATGTCGGTCGACAGTCGGTCGATAGTCGGTGACTAGAATCTTACCTTTCGCCGACACTCCATCGAGTGTCGATCGATACTAGCGGTGATCACTCGGTCGACATATCGATCGCTATCTAATGATCGCCTGTCGGCAGCATGTCGGTCGTCTGTCAATGAAATATCGGTCGTCTGTCGATGAAATATCGGTCGTCTGTCGATGAAACATCGGTCGTCTGTCGATGATGTATCGGTGTAGTAAATTATCTCAGTCTCAGTAGTATTCCTCCTCCAAACGGCGGCTATCTTGTCTAATATGCCGTCAGCTAGTTAGTGCTAGGTCGAGTGAACTATTACTTAGATTTCCTGCAAGAGCAAAAGTTACTTTCAACAGGGTGGTACATGGTTTATTGGAGACGCCGATTCGATTGGGGAAAAGTTCATGATTCGTGAGAAGAGTTCAATATTTTAGTTGTGATTCGTGAATTGATAGCCCCACCTGGGGCCTGTTTCTCGAAATTCCCGAAACTTTATGGGTCTAGTTCGAGTGCTGTAATTTCCTACGTATCTCAAAGACGAAGACGTTTCCAGGAATGAAATTTTTCAACAAGTCTGCCCTTTCGTGTCTTGAATTCATGGTAAAAGGCCAGCTTTTTAGAATAAGCGGATAATAATAATAATAATAATAATAATAATGATAATAATAATATATCGATTTTTATAGCGCATTTCCATGAAATGCTCTAATGCGCTTTACAACACTGTGCGGGGGCAGTTTACAATAAATAAAGAAGAAATTCTACAGATGCCCCCTCCCCCCATTCCCAGTAACCAGGCCAGACCACCTCACAGTAATCTCGTGATGTGGGTTCTTTAACGTCCCCTGCCAAATTAAGTTATTGATA